CACTCCCATACTCACGTCCATGTAGTTCTTGAGCACCTCGGGGACGGGCCCCCCGGTCACAGCGGGCACCCCCTGGGCATATTTTGAAGTGGAGGCCTTGGCGATCAGTTTTTCCACGGGGCCTCCCACCTCCGACATGGTCCGGCGGATAGACGTAAACTTGTGCAGCGGGATTCTGTCAAGAAGCGGGTAGAGGGCCGGGCTCCTTAGGGCAGGGCTGGCCTCTGCCTCCCTCCTGGGCCCTCTGCACCCACATCCAAGCATCCCAGCCGGAGGGAGCCAGCACCTGCTCCACCCCCTCCTCAGCCTCCAGGGCCTTCAGAGACCCCCCTCGTCTTCTGCCCCCACTCGGATCTCTTCTGTGATCTCTTCCGGTGGGACCTGTCACGCATCGGCCGCCACCTGTCACCCCTTTGCTCTGAGCCCCATTCACCTGGCCCTCTGGCCGTGGCTCCACCCAGGCCTTAGGCCCCATGCTCCCACCTGCCCTGTATGTCCTCCCTGGGGTGGCTGCCTTCTGGCATCAGATTGGACATCAATGCCACCCCCTCTGAGGAGCCCTCCCTGACCACCCCCTGCTGCCCTTCACATCACCCGGTCTCCTTCCATCGCTCTCACCCCACAAGGCAGTGACCTCGGTCGGGCCCTGCTGACCTGTCACCCTCTCCTCACCACGATGCAGAGACCAGGGGGGCCTAGGACTGCACTTGGAGAGCGGGGTCTCCGCTTGCAGCCCCGCGGTACCCCACTGGGAGCCCCCTTCACAGGAGCCCCGCCTCCCAGCACAGGTGCCCCTGGCTGTGTTGTGCACGGGCCTCGGCCATCAGAGCAGAAAGGGGTCCCTGGATCCCCTGGGCCTGAGCTTGCGCTCCGTTGCCATGGTGAGGAGGCGGGGCAGGAGAGCACACTGAGCAAGGTCAACCACCTGGGATGCAGGAGTTCCGGATAACGGCTGGCTGTTTCCAGCAAGGCCGGGGCGCGCCCTGGGCAGGTAGGACTCTAGCCTCAGAGCAGGCAGGCGGGAAGAGCCCGAGGTTCCTGCCTGGGGGGGCCGTGCCCTGCAGCAACCCAGGAACCGGCAGCCTTCAGCCCCACCGCACCCGGGTGGGTGCAGCTATGGCACCCCAGAGCCCCAGGCTCCCTCCCCCAAGGCTCTCCATCCCTGGGGAGGTCTGTGGGTGGGGCAGGGGCAGGCTCAGGCCTGCGGGCGGCTCCCCCCACAACTGCTCCAGTTGGGGCTCCTCACCCCCAGGTCACAGCCCACGCAGGGCAGCCCTCTGGCAAGGCCCAGCCCCGCTCAGCCCACAGCCAGCTCCCAGCCCATGACCTCACCCACTTTCCCACGGGCATGAGGCCCACAGCCCGGGAGGACCAGCTCGGGCCCAGGCCTGATACAAAGGCCCCCAGGGCTGGGTGCGCCCAGAGGCATCGGGAGTGGGCGGCTGGGAGCGCAGGAAGCCGGGCAAGGGCAGGAGAATGGGGGTGAGGGGCCCCTCGGCCCGGCACCGGGGTGCAGGTTCCCAGGCCTGAGGCCACCACCCCGGCCTCTCCTTCAGCTAACACCCTTCCTGTCTCTTGGGCAGGGGGGACCCCTAGGGCGGCCCCGAGGTCTCCCAGCCCGTGGCCCGTGGTGAGATCCCAGGTGACCACCCCGGGGGAGGCAAGCCCCGTCCAC